AGGGTTAAATGCGAGCTGTGTTCAGATAAACAAAGCCACGGGAGGCCAGGCAGGTGGAGAGCAGCCAGCACAGATTTGGCACCAAGGAGGAGATCTAAAAGGCTCTGAGGCTCATGGTGCACAGACTGGTTCTTGGCTTCAGCTTCCCTGTCCACTTTAAATCAGGAGCAACTGCTGTCGTCGAGTTTCTCATCAGTTGTTGCATAGTGAGGGGTGAATTGTGAGTTCTGGGTCTCAGTAAATAAAAATCAAAGAGGAAAGTCTGATAAATGTGCAAGAAAAGGGCAGGAAAGGTCTGGGTCTCTGCCACCAACTCTGTGGGGAGCCATTGGCAAGTCCTTGGATTTTTTTTCACCCCTCTGTTACCTCTTCCTGCAGAAAACGAAAATAAGGAGTATTTTCTGTACTTGGTCCTTTGAATTGGTAACTCAGCATTCTGATACATCTTCTCTAGGATGTCTGAGCAGTACTGCAAATAACATCTAATTAACAATGTCAATTAAAGCATTAATTGTAGATTTGCTTCCCAAAGAGTGACACTTACTTAAGTCTGGTCAAACAGCAAATAACACAACCTGTCAATACACTGGATAAACCCTCCTGTGCTGAGGATAACAGCAACTTCCTCAGGAGTTTATTGACTGATAAGAGCAATTATTGATTTAATAAGTGCTGTTTCAAGGCACTGTTTAGTGTCTGCTGTCGTGTCCATATTTCCATAATTTGGGTTTAACAACATGTGAGAAGCACAGATGTCATTCAAATAAGTCATAAAATCATGATATTTAAGATGCTGTCATCATGGAAAAATAATTTATGGAATGGTTTGGGTTGGAAAAGATCTTAAAGCTCATCCAGTGCCACCCCCTGCCATGGGCAGGGACACTTCCCACTTTCCCAGGTTGCTCCAAGCCCTGTCCAGCCTGGCCTTGGACATTTCCAGGGCCCCATGGCCAGCCACAGCTTCTCTGGGCATCCTGTGCCAGGGCCTGCCCACCCTTTGAGTAAAGAATTTCTTCCTAATACCCAACCTAAACCTGCCCACTTTCAGTTTGAAGGCATTCCTCCTCATCCTGTCACTACACTCTCTCCTCAGAAGTCCCTTGTAAATGTAACCCTTGAGTGAAACCCCTGAAAAATGTGCTTCCAGTGGAAATGCAGATGAAAATCATATTTTATTTATTCTTCGTTTCTGAGAGAGCAATGCATTTCATTAGACCATTGTGTAATCATATCAATGGGCTTTCTCTTCTTCATCAGTGAGGTTAAACACACCAATTTCTCATTGTTTGTGTCCTAAGAACAGGAAAAGAAGGTTTGTGAGAAAGCCCACGCAGTGAGGGGTCCTGGAGTCCTGCCCTCTCCATCACTGACAGCAGAGTAAAATTACTGAGGTCACTCTAGAGTCTTAAAGGCACTAAGTTGAAAATATAACCCAGAAAAACAATGTTTTGAGGTAATATTGTGAAAAATGAGAGTGTGTCTGGGATTCCTTACGACCCTTTAGATACAAGGTCAGGTCTATGTAAACATGTTAAATGTTGTGCACAAAAGGAATCCATTTGAACTCCATTTCACTCTCAAACATGTGAGGAAGCAGCACTAATGCCATGGATTTCTGTCAAATAAATATCCGTATTTTGCTGTAGGATACAGAAACTTGCACTGTCTGAGGGCAAGGCAGCAGCTGCAGAATGCAGGAATTCAAAGGCATGTGGTGGCTGCATGTTCGTTCATGTACTTTTATATATAGCTAAATATATCTGTTTGTATATATAATATATAATATATAATATATAATATATAATATATAATATATTTATGTATATAAAACATCTTTCTATATATATATAATATCTGCATATATAAAATATGTAAATATAAAATATATATATGTTTATGTATTATAATTTAATATTATATATTATACACTATATATTGTATGTGTTTACATTTTATATATACTTATAGATAAAATATAAGCTACAATATAAATATAAATATAAATATACAGATATACAGATATATTTATAAAAATACAGCTATTTAAATAATTGCAAAGAAAAATATACTTATAGATAAAATATAAACTACAATATAAATATAAATATAGATATACAGATATACAGATATACAGATATATTTATAAAAATACAGCTATTTAAATAATTGCAAAGAAATACAAAAAAATATATCCACACACACCCACAAATATAATTGTATATATGTTCATTTTATGCCAACACTCAATAGATGAATTTTGACATTTTTGTTTAAATTCAGGGCATGATGTTCAATGTAAATCTAGTTAACTTCCCAGTATCTTAACTTATTAGAGAAAATTGAGTTGATGAATCAAGCCTAAAAGTCTGTACAGACAAATGTTGTACTGGAGTTTTTTTCAGTACATTAGTTAGGACTCAGATACAGAAATATATGTTAATGAAAGGCTTGCTTGCTACTACAAATCAGAAAATTAATGTTGTTTGAAGAGTGAGTCCCTTCATAATGTCCAAACACGGTGAAATGCAAAAATAATTTCAGTGTATATACAAAAATATTTCTGTAACAAGCCTATTCCTTTCAGAAAAACTGCATTAATGTGTTTTAGCTGTTATTGAGGATGTAATGAAATTAAAAATTAACTAAAATTTATTTTTTTAATATCAGTGACACTAACTGCTATCTCTGTTTAGGATTAAATGATGATCATTTTTATGTCATGCTTTTTAGACTGCAGGGAAAAAATAGATGCATTCAAAACATTTAAATTTAAGAGAAATGTCTTTTTACAGCCATCACTGTAATAAGCAGGATGTCAGGAACACCAGGAATCAATCTACTGAATACTGGCCTGGTCTTTCTCCAGAAAGAATTCTGCACAGTTTTGAGGTCAAATTACTCTACAAATGCTAAACTAAAACTGGATTTTCATGAGTCTGAGAGGTTTTGAGGAGTTTTTCTTGCAGCTTTTTGACCCCTGCTTGTGTGGGTCAGTGTGAGGCACAGGCTGCTGAGCTGGGTGACCTCACTTAGGGGACAAGTTCCATCTGAGCTGCTGGCTGGAGTGGCAGATGCTGTGAAAAATACCATGAAAGAAGTGATAAAGGAGTGGTGGTTTGCTCTTTGATCCTCTGGTTGTCTGATACACCCGCAAATAAAAATTCCTGCACCACAACCTGACATCCAGATTTTAGCAACACATCCTGATTTTAGCAACAAATTCCTAAAACTGAGCTATATAACTGCTAATAAGCATGGGGTTTGGTGGATTTAGGAGGAAAAAAGGTCTCTCCAAACTGTTCTGCAGAGCAGAATAGATGAATATTGTGTTATTTAATATTCTAATAGTGACCATCACTGAACACACCACACCATCCCTAATATTCTGCCAGGAATGTGGAGCACAGGCTCAGCACTGCTGCAGCATCTGCCAGCTCAGCCCCGTGCAGCAGCTGAACCACCTTGGCTGCAGGAAAATGTTTGCTCAGAGCACTGGAGACACCTCCTCAGAATTCAGAGATCTGCCCAACATCTGCAAACATCCAGGAATTAGAGTCACAGAACATCCTGAGTTGGAAGGGACCCACAAATTCATCCTGTCCCCGCACAAAATCCCAGCCTGTGCATCCCTGGGAGAGGTGTCCAGTCTCTCCTGGAGCTCTGGCAGCCTTGGGAATGTGACCATTCCATGGGTCAGCACCCCACTGCCCTCTGGGGGAAGAACCTTCCCCTAAAATCCAGGCTAAATTCTTCCTGTGGAATCCTGGCAGCAGCTGGAGTTGGGCAGAGAAGGATGGACACTGTAGGTGTTCTCACTGTGGCTTCCAGGATCAACCCTCCAAAATCCTCAGTGGTTGGATGTGTAGGATTGATGTTTAATAATCCATCCAAAGTCATAAAACATGCCTGATACTTCAGATGAGTTTTCTATGCTCTCACCATCATTTTCGCATCAAACCCTCTTTTTTCTGTCTTAAAAGCTATAAAAGCACATCAGATTTACTTTAGAGGAGACACAGAAATCAAGGAATTTTAAATTATTATGTGAATTATAAAATAAAACCCCCACAACTTATGCCATGCTGAAAAGCCTCCTGTTATTATTTTATTTCTTTAGATGCTTTCTCCTTTCCCATAGGATCAAAATCAGTATTTGTTTGGATTTCACTTTTAACAAAACCCTTCTCCTACAATAAGGTGAAGGCTTTTCCAATCCCTAATTAACATTTGACCACTGGGGTTAAAAGGGGAACAACCTGAAGCTGTGTTGGGCTGAATAAGATGCAGAACTAAACTGAAGTGAACATTTCACCTGCTGCAGTGGCCAGTGAGGTGCTGGGAGAGTTTTTGAGAGCGATTTGCAGCAGCTCCCTGAGGCTCCTCTGTGCACGGTGCAGCAGCTCCACTCCCTGGCTCCAGGCAGCTCCTCCTGCGTCCCCAGCTGAGCCAGAACCCAGCCAGGATCCAGGAAAACCTGATTTCAGCCCAATTCTGATTAAACATGGAGCACAGGGGGTTGGGAGGTTGGTTTGGCATTATTCCAACAATTAATATTTTTTTGGAAGAACAAAGGAAAGGGAGATTTCCCATATAAGCTCAAAGTTTTATCATTTCTCACTGTGATAGTTGTGTTTTTAGGATATTAAGCAGCATGGGTTTGGATACAGTGTTTTGGAAATGTGTGAGTCTTTCTCACTTAAGAACATTCCCCTAAAAAATAATTTTTAAAAAAATCCACAAAAATGCTCCTAGATCCATTTTTCTTATTCTTCCTAGAGTCTAATGAAAATTCATGAAACCAGATATTTAACAATATCCCATCTTCTGAAAACCTTTTCCCACTCATAAATATGCAAGATTAATACAAAAATAAAGATTTAAACCTGCAGTTCTCCTCTGGGCTCTGCTACATCCAGTTTTTTATGGGAGTCAAACTTTTATCAAAATTGCAACCTATTATCATTATGAATTAATTATTTTCATTCTTCTAATTGCAGGTTGGGAAGTGGATAATTTGGGGCAAACCCATGCAGGTAAGAATCAGTTTTGCTGCTTATCTCCTCTGTACATCTGTTCCCCAAAATGGTGTGCACATGTTAGTTTGAGATTATTAAAAAGTTCTCGGTGTATCAACAACTATGACAATGATACATTGGTACTTAACTATAATACTTGCACAAAAAGTGAAATTAAAAATCTCATAAGTCTCTATAAATCAGTGTGATTTTACCTAAAGCCACAAAATTATATTATCTTATTTAAAGCAATTAATTACTGCTCTTTGTCATTGATGGATGGAAAGAGTGATTCATTAATCCTCTGAAAACTGGTCATATTTAAATACCTGAGGATTATAAATGTAAATTCCTATAGAAATCATATTTGGCTTCCATATTTTTGCAATAAATTTTGCCCCTGTTTATTGTTTGTGTTTTTAATTCTAAATTTAGAGGTTCAGCTTTGATTTAAACTCTCAAGTAAAGATGTGTTTACTTCCTGAGAAGACAGCACCAAGTATTTATTGCCTTTGGGCCTGATCTAAACAAATAAAAATCAATTGCACTCCATTCACTGCTTTCCACTGAGACCAGTTTGGGCTCTAATAGAAAACACAATCAAAACAATTTCATACCCAATTTCCACTTTCCTAGGTGATTATGACCTGCTGGAAAGCACAGCCCAGTCTCTCCTAGGTAAGAAACAGAACCATGGAAATTTTTGCCTCTCTTTTTATTTATCTCTCTTTTAAAAAGGAAGCTCTCAGCTCTTTTTCCCTGCAATTTTGGTATTATTTTCTAATCAGTTCTAATTGTTATGACATATTTTCTGCTCTGTTACTTCTAGCAATATTATGAAAATTTATTCCTCCTCTATTAAGCCTTGCAATCTAAGAAGTGTGCTGCTATAAATTATATCTACCTGCTTAACAGTAATTACTAAATGGTGTTAAAGGAAGTCAACACCATGATTCAGTGCTTTTATTTCCATAGAAAACTAGGGATGAATGTGCAAGAGTAATTTAACAAAATTTGCTGAGTAATGCAATGTTCTTAAATGAATGCTGTGATTAAAGAGATATATTCTGCTGCATGGATGGCAAACAGAATCTCTTAAATAAGGTTAAAAATAAGGTTAGGAGAGACTAAACTGCTCTAAGAATGCAAAGCAGCACAACTTTAATAGCAAAGAGCAAACTCAAAACTTGGAAATTTCCATCAGTTTTGGTCAAGGTGCAACTGAAACTCCAAAAAGTGTGATAATTTGATAAATTGAGGCTCTTCCTTTGTTCTGGAGAGGAAGAATTGCAGCAGCAACCCATCCCTAATTTTTTGGAAAAGCCATTGAGCTTTGAGAAGAATAATGGTGCTTCAAAAGAGCCCCACAGGGGCTGTCCTATCTCAGGCAGCTTTGTAGGTAAATGAGTGTCAGGAGATTCTTCCTCTTCTGCCCCCAACTCTTCATTCCCAGTATGGTTTTAAAGCCTCAGTTTATCAGTGAAACAATTGAGGAGCTGATTTTTATATGAGATTAGCCACAAAATTCTGGTATTTAAGCCAATATTTGCTTAAAATTAAGGTTATAAACCAGGATTGGAATAATTAATAGACAGAGGAAAGTGAGAAGCTCTGAATTCACCAACTGAGGCCACCCTGGGCATCTGGAGATGGAGAAGGACACATTGCCATGAAGACAGAGATGGGAGAAAAATTCCCAGTCTACGTTCCTTTGTTTTTCCTAGGCCGTTCCCATAAACTCACTCTGAGATCAGAGCCTGGGCTTGGAGATAAACAAGTGGGATGTGTCTTATCCGCCTGCAGCAGAGCAATCCAGCTGCCTCTCCATGGATATTAACCCATGATTACCTGAGATATCCCACAGCATCCTGACTGGCTTCCAGCACCTGGACCAAAAAAATCATGTTAGTCTGGTGTTTCCCACCAGTCCCACGCATGTGCCTCAGATATAAACCATTAAAAATAGCACAAAGGGCCTGGTTTTAATCATTGCATTTCTCCTTTGGCCATGTGGAGTGGAGATACCTTCATCAAAGCTGGAGCCACCAGATGCCTTTTTGAAAGAAATGGGCATTTAGCTGACCCCTGGTTAAGGAACCTTCTTGAGAATGAGATTTTTGGTGGTCTGGAGACACTGAATGTACTGATTAAATATTTTTGCTCTCTGGTGACCAACTGTAGTAATAGGTTCCTGTTGTAGGACTGGATCATTAAAGACCTCATTAAATTTCCAGAATTAAATCTATGGACAGGGAGATAAACAGAGCTTCCAGTGCAACAGTGGGGTTTGCTTTGCACCGAGGAGTGGGAAGGGATGTCCCGGAGGTTTTTCTTGGGATGTGACATTCCCACTTGCCCTTGGCACAGGGGACATCAGCAGGAATTGCACTGAAGATGGCTGGTCTGAACCTTTCCCTCATTATTACGATGCCTGCGGCTTCGATGAGAACGAAACAGAGTCTGATAACCAGGTGGGAATTAATCTCATAATTAAAAACAAATGAAGGGGGGAGGGGGGAAGCAGCAGACTGCTCTCTGTCCAGCCTCTGGTCATGTTCTGATTTGATAGTGATTAGAACAAACAATCAGATGTACATGGGTATGGGAATAAAGCACAGACTCCATTTTCTTCATGGTGGAAAAAGCCCCTTCTTTATTCACATAACTCCTTTTTATACAGTTTTTCAGACCTCGTGTGGGACTCCAATTGGTCAGGAGCTTTCTTGCCGATTACTTTGTTGCTTACTAACAAGCTGTTATACTGTATTGACTGGTCACTCAAACCCCTGGGGTGTACATGTAGGAAAAGTTGTTTGAAGAGATAGTTTCCATTTTTCTATCTAATGGGGCAAAAGGAGTTTATACAGGTGCCAGTTGTTTTTCACCCAGGAATATGTTGAATGTGTTGTTATTTGTTAACAAATTGCTTACACCAGGATTCCTTTCACATGGGAACTTGCAAAGTGCCAGCTTGCCTTAGAAGAAATGACAGGCTAGCCAGGGCAGGCCTGACTTTATGAAGCCTTTTTTTAGGATTTTTCTACCTTTACTGCAACACATGGGTATAAAACTGTGAGAAGTGAGATCTGATTCCTTCCAGGGCATGTATTGAATTTTTATAGAAGATGAGCTTTTAGTGTTGATATAGCTTGGAACTTCTAGAATTGCAGGCTAACCCTCAATTCCACCCCTGCTGATAAAGAATCTCTTAGCCAAGTGGGTTTTTTTCCTACAGATACTTATAAAAGAAATAGATAGATAGCCTTTCCTACCTCAGTGATAAATAACCTCATGGTGTGCAGACCCAGCTCCAGAGCAGAGCTTGGTGCATAGAGAAATCTCAGAGGAAATTAGGAGAAACCAGGCTGTGCAAAGACACAGATCCTGGTTCCTCCTGCACACTGGCAGCTGTGTGGCTGTGAATAAACCCTTTAACCCTGTGGTTTTTGCCTCCCAAGGATTACTACTATCTCTCAGTGAAGGCTCTGTACACAGTGGGATACAGCACTTCCCTGGTTTCCCTCACCACTGCCATGGTCATCCTGTGTCGCTTCAGGTGAGTGGGGACACCAGCAGGGAGCTGTCAGACCCTGGAGGAAGGAAGCTGAAGCTCAGCTGCCCCAAACTGAGCTAAAGATTTTATCTCACCAGAGGTATAATAAGAAGGGGAAGATCCTTTAGCTGAGTTGTTCCCCCAGCTTGGACATGCTCCAGAAGTCACATTTCAGCAGTGTAAATGCAGCAGGAGAAGCTGTGGGTCTGGTTTATGAAACTTCACAAGCTGCACTGGGCTTGTTCTGTTGTCTATTTTATACTTCTCTGCATCCTTTTACAAGAAAATTCCAAAATTCTCCTCTTTCTCAAGTTTAGGACCTGTACTAACACAGTCTTGGCTTAGATGTTGGTGTTCTTAGCACCAAGGTCAAGTGTGTTCAGGCCCAGTGTGACATTTCCACAAAACAAAACTATTTTCTTCTTTATTTCTCTTTTTCCCCCCAACTCCCTTCCTCTTCCCTCTCCAGGAAGCTTCACTGCACTCGGAATTTCATCCACATGAACCTTTTTGTTTCGTTCATCCTCCGTGCAATATCTGTGTTCATCAAGGATGGAGTTCTTTATGCTGAGCAGGATGGAAACCACTGCTTTATCTCGACGGTGAGTCAAACTGAAACCAAATCCTTCTCCTTCACTTTTTTTCAGCTCAAGATAACAAAAAGCAGTCTGTGTAGTATCATGAGTTATTAGGGGTAAAGATAGTTGGTGTTTAACTTCCCTCCCAGTTCTCAGCCAGACTGGATGTTTCATCTCGTGATGTCACCAGTGTTTCATCTCGTGATGTCACCAGTGTCCTTCAGAACAAACCTGCAGGTTTTGTTTTCTGACTCTGCCCTGATTGTTCCTCCCTTTCCCAGATCTGCTCAGAGATAGGTGGGATGAGGGCAGACACAAGCAATTTCCTCCATCTGAAGGTCTGTTTTTTCTCCAGAGCCTGTTTGTTCTGGATGTCAGGCAGAGTCACGTGGAAACAGGGTGACCATTCAGACACAGAGAATACACCTGATGGCCACACTCTCAGAAAATCATCAGCATTACCCACATCTTTGTCTCTTAAATCTGTAGTTTCATGCAGAGCACTCTTTCACTGATGCATTTAGCATTTATTATGTGTAAATCCCAATTCCTTTCACATTTAAGGCTAGTATTTGATATGATAAATCAGCTCACTGGGTGTAATTATGATAGAATTACAAACTGAGCTCTCCTTTATCCATCCAGTTATGAGCTAAATTCCCTGTGAGTCACTTCCACAAGGCAAGTGCAGCTGTGGAGTTTCTTAGTCAGCCTTTTCTTTGTCATTGAAACTAGTTTTTGCTCTCAATTCTTCTCCAGGAGAAAGCTGAAGCCATGTTAGGTCTGCAGTTTGCTCCTGCCACTCTTCCAATGGTGGCATCTGCCTCTTTGTTTGGAAACACTTAAAGCATAAAACACATTAAAATCAGCCATTTTATGACCAGATCTTCAGCCTGGGTAGAGCTTCCATGAAGAAACTTGAGATCTGATGGTTTAAGCATCTTGATGGTAGATTTGGCCCAGAGGATGAAGTCAAAGTGGGAGCTAATCACTGCCTCCAGCAGTGGTTATACACATATTTATTATACACAGATTTATTTATACACAGATTCTGCTTGGATTTGTCAGATTCTGCACTTTTTCCTCACACAAAACACCAATTTATCAAATTATAGCCTAATTCAAAAATAAAACAACTAAAAAGCATTTTAAAAACTTTTATTCTATTTTCAGTTTCATGTAAAAAGTAAAACAATACAAATATTATAATTCACACAATCACAATCAAAAACCATCTAGTTCCTAATTACAATACATTATAAACATTTCTTAACCTATCTACTTTTACCACACCATACTATAAATACCTTAAAACAAATAATCTACAATTACCCCTCATAAATCCTATAACAATACATCTTTCAAAATTCTATTTCTCCAAAATATCTAATCTTAGTTATAAAACCACCCTTTAAAATTTATTTCTAATTCCATTTCTCTTTCAGCAATATCTATGCTCTTCTGTAACATTTCTAAATCAACGTTTCTTATTTCAAAATTTACATACAAATCCATACTCTCTAAATCTTCTGTCAAACTTTAAAAATTGTCCACAAATTCATTTCCCACAGGATTTGTTGGAAAATCCTACTTTTGTAGGACTAATGGGATCTCACTGGGGTGCAGCACTGGAAAGACCAGTATGCCCCAGTCTCAGAGGGTAGAGCTTGGTTGCCACGTTAGGCCTTTGTCACAGAATCATTCAGGTTGAAAAACCCTCTGAAACTGAGTCCAACCATTCCCAAGCTCTGCCAAATTCATCCCTAAACCACATCTCTAGTGCCACATTTCCACATCTTTTAAACACCCCCATGCATGGTCACTCCACTGCTGACCTGGACACTGTTCCAGTGATTGAAAACCCTCTCAGGAAACAAATTTTCCTTAATATCCAAAATAAACCTCCCCTGATGCAATTTAAGACAATTTCCTCTTGTCCTAGCATTTGTTACCTGGGAGAAGAGACCGACCTTGTTACCACCTCCTGTCAGGGAGTTGTAGAAAGCAATAATGTCCTTCCTGAGCTTTTCTCCAGCTTAAACAAACTGAGTTCCTTTAAATTTTTTAAAATTCTATTTTTATTCTATTTTAATTGTATTCTATTTTTATTTTAATTTTATTTATTATTTTTAAAAATTTTTATATTCTATATTGATTTTTTTTCTAGTTTTCATTTTTCTTTAGTTTGCTGCTTCCCCCTCCTGTCCATGAATGAAACCTTCCATCTTTTTTTAACAGCTGATCACTCAGCCTCCTTTTTCCTCTCACTTACTTCCATTTTCTGTGCTTGAGTGACAACACTGATGATGGATGTCAAAGAAGTGCAATTCCCAGCTGCACACAGGAGGGTTCATCCTTTCAGATCCCCCTCTCAGGGCTTTCTGCAGTCATCCTGCCATTTCACATCCTTCTCTGGGTTTCTCAGTACACAACTGGATTTTTTTCTTCCCTGCATTTAATCCTGGAAGGGGGCTTAAGTCCAGCAATTGGTGTTCACTAGGGCTGTGAGCCCTCAGCAATACAGGATGTGCTCAAGCTGCTCTGAAATGCTCCTTGACCACTTCCCACTGGTAAAATTGGTAAAATTGGCTTCCTCCCCATCCAGGCTTTGCTGTCTAAGTGATACCTGCCATTTTTCACATTCTTTAAAACCTCTACCATTAAAAGTGTGTAATACCAGCCCCAGCACTTTCCTCTGAGAGATCTGGAGAAGTTGAAAGCATTTTTTGTGTCAGGCCTAAGCAATGCAGAAATAACTTTGTTCTTGTCCATCCCCTGCAGGTGGAATGCAAAGCAGTGATGGTGTTTTTTCACTACTGTGTCATGTCCAACTACTTCTGGCTGTTCATCGAGGGGTTGTACCTCTTCACTTTGTTGGTGGAGACCTTCTTCCCAGAGAGGAGATATTTCTACTGGTACACAATCATTGGCTGGGGTACGTCGCACTTCTTGTCTCCAACGTGTCTTGGTGTGCAGGATGCTCCACTAACCACGGGTGGTGTTTCCATGTCAGGTTTCAAACTGTGGTTTTAGTCTTGATGATGTTGAAGTTATGTTGGAATGATGTTGGAATCCAAAATGCAAGGAACTCTCAGAACTTTGGGCCTGTAACCCAAAGCTTAGAATTAAACCCAGGATTTGATCTGAGACCTTGGAAAAGGCTTCCAAACTGAGGTGCTGGAAGCGAGAATGTGATTTAGAGTTTAAAGCAGACACATGTTAAGTAAAAGAAAGTTTAGAGTTTTAGAGTTTATAGATATATAAAAGATAAAAGATATAGAAAAATAAAAGATACATAAAAATAAAAGCATTTACAAGGGTAAACAAGGGGTTTAGAATGCAGCACTGTAGGTTTGTATGTCATAACGTGATTGGTTAAAAACACATGGACCCACACTTAAGAAACATATGGACTCATGCTTACACTGTAGCATGGGTCCATAAGACAAAATATTTAAGGATTGGGTCAAAAACATAAATATCCTTGTTGGCAGTGTTTTATTGGTCAATAACTCCTTAAAAGGCCTTTAACTAAGGGTCTTGTGACCTTCTGAAACATGCAGTAAAGATGTGAGCTGAACTCAACTTTCCTACTTATGTAGAGGATAAGAAAAATAAACAGCATTATCAAAAAACAATTCAGAGGTCCCATCTCAAATTCCTTCCAAAATTCCCAACAAGTGAATTATCACAGCACAGAAGTACCACTGCAGCCCAGGCTGTGTTGTGGTTTTTTGCATGGATAGAGTTGCACTGAAATCTGGAGGACACCACATCTCTTGCAGAGCTCTAATCTGCAACAGAAAATTGCCTCCTGCAAGATATGATCTTAACATCAACTTCTTCAGCTTAATCAAATCTGCAATGCTAAGTCCATTTTCTAAGGCTTCATTTGTGCCTTTCTTTCAGATAATAACTAAATTGAAAATGTATCCAAAGGGTATTTACATCTGCTTATCCTACCTGGGTGGGAAATAAAAATTTGCACTGGGAAGAAACAATATTTATTTCAGAAAAGCCAGTTAAATGATGATAACCATGGCAATTATTTTTCATTCTAGCCTTCTGGATATAAATTGATTCCTGTGATGTGTTACTACAAGCAATTCTTTGCAGATGTTTTTTTGTGCAGAAGTCATATGGTGAATGCAGAAGAATACATTCATTTAAAATGTTCCCTGGGAATGTTAAACTCGATTTTTATATTTACAGACACTTTTGAAATAGGAATAAACCTGTATATTCATGTGTAAAATCTACACACAAAACCCAAGCCTTAAACCACTCTCCTTTGAAAAAAACCCATTTTTATGTAGCCTGCACCTTCACGAAATCAACAGATGGTCTTGTTTTTTCCTTCCTGAAGCAGCTGTACACAAACCAAAATTTTCATCTCCTGGCAAAGACTCCTTACAGTAGGGAGAGAAAATGTTTCAGAAGGTATAGAGGTAGAGAAAATATAGAGAGAAAATTATCATAAATAATCTGTGCCATAAAAAGGCTGTTGGAAATGGATGTTTACTGGAAAAGGCCTTGGAAAAGAAACTGTTGGAAAGGGGATTCAGGGTTCATTCTGTACCCTCTACAGCTGTATAATCACATTATAGCTGAGAGAAAAGTGTATTTCCAAGGAGAAATTGGGGATTATGTACATGGAAATCTGACAATTACAAAAAGAAAACAATGCAAAAATCACAATTTATAAAACCTTTGTAATCTGAACCTAAATCAGAGGTTGAGTTCCTTTAATTAAGTTTGCACAATTTTCATACCTGTGGATTTATCTGAGTGTGAGAATACTGAAAATCAGCATATATCAACTAACTTCAGTACTTTTTTAAATCATTCCTTATAATGAATGAGCTACCCAGATGGATTCATTCTGTAACGCAACCTCAAAATATTTAGTTTTTAGTTGAGTGCCATAGATGATAACTGGCATTGAGCTGAATACAGGACTTTACAGAATCCCAGAATAGTTTGGGTTTGAAGGGATATTAAAGATCATCTATTGCACCCCCTGCCATGGGCAGGGACACCTCCCACTGTCCCAGACTGCTCCAAGCCCCAATGTCCAACCTGGCCTTGGGTACTGCCAGGGATCCAAGGGTAGCCACAACTGCTCTGGGAATTCCATCTCTGCCCTCTGGCAGTGGGAGCCATTCCCTGTGTCCTGTCCCTCCATCCCTTGTCCCCAGTCCCTCTCCAGCTCTCTTGGAGCCTCTTTAGGTCCTGGAAGGGGCTCTGAGCTCTCCCTAGAGCCTTCTCCTCTCCAGGTGAACATTCCCAGCTCTCCCAGCTTTTCTCCACAGTAAAGGAGCTCCAGCCTTTGTAGTATCTCTGTGAGCTCCTCTGTATTCATTCCAGCAGGTCCATGCCCAGCTTGGATATCTGGTCCAGGTCCAGCTTGTGCTGGTGGGCACAACACTTAAATCACTTCAGATTCAAAGCAGCATCAGCAATATCCAGCTTTGGATGGTTCTGGTTTATTTATTTTTTTTTTAAGCACAATTGTTTTCTCATCTCCCACATGTTTCAGCTGGACTCGCAGTTCCCTGATCTGGTGGGAACAATTGGCAATTTGCAAAGCCAACAGAGGCACTTCCAGACTCTGGATTCCATCCCTGGAGGGCAAAAGCAGCCCCTCAGCTCAGGGCTGGTGGGGAGGGAGCTGCAGTGAAGCAGTGAGAAAGAAGAGCTCAGCACTTTGCAGCATCTGGATGTTCATCTCTTTCTCCAAATGTGCTGAGACCTCAGTGTCCTCATCTTGAGGGATTAATGAGAACCACATATGGCTCTGTTGATCCAGGCAGTTTCTCCTTCCTAAATCTGCAATATGCTGGTGAATTCTCTGGATGGCCTGCTGTCTTCCTGAGCTCCCTGCTAGTGCCTGCGCCTAATGAAGCATCAGGTTTCAGCTTTTATATTTTCAGATTCTGTGCTGCTTTAGTGTGTGGGTCTGGGCTTCATATTAAGGGTTGGTGAGCTCTCTGCACAGAGCAGGGAGGCAAAACAATTCCTGCTCCAGCTGGGCACCAAGGACAAATGATCCCAATCTCAGCCCAGGAGCACAAACCCCGTGGGCTGCAGAGAGAAAAACAGGCAGGGTGGGACTGCAGGGGCTGCAGTGGGATTGGACACTGAACTGCAATGTGTACATGGAGCAGAGCTGAGCCCAGGGAGAGACCCCGGCAGCGCTCGTGCATTTTGGGGCCATTTGGGTTCATCTTGGGTGCAGCCCTGGCTGGGCTCTGGTGCTGCCCAAGGTGGATCCATGGAGGAGATCCTTTGAATAAATCCCTGCTTTATTCTTTAGCTCTGTCCAGCCTCTGTTCTAGGCCAGATTTCATAAGACCTCACTCAGGGCAGCACAAAGTCATCGAGAATAAATCTCAGCCTTCAGGGCTTGTCTGTTTCCTAACGTTCCTCAGAAGCTGAAAAGGAGGCGATGGAGAGATAGAAATCTTTTGATGTAAAGAAAAGTAGTGTTAAGGATTTGTATATTCATACAGCAGATGGTTCAAAGCTCCAAGCTGATCTGAAACATGGGGTTTTTAAATGCATTTTTATGACACATTTTGTTTTAATTCTGCCTTCCTGCGCATTTTACAGATTTGGAACATTATTCATAGCATCAAAATTTATATAGAGGAAACTAAATAAAACATGAGAACAATGTTTTATAGAATCAAAGAGTGGTTTGGATTGGAAGAGACCTTAAAATTCATCTCATTCTCATCCCCCTTCCCTCAATACTTTCCACCATCCCAGGTTGCTCCAAGCCTTATCTAACCCAGCCTTGGTTTGGGCACTTCCAAGGATGGGGCACCCACAGATTCTCTGGGCAAATATTTGATATTTAAAGGTTAAATTGATAAAATTAAAATTAAAGTTTGATATTTTAAAATTAATCTTAACTCCTTTAAGGTCAAAAAGGGTTTTTCTCAGTGTTTTCTAGGTATTCACCTGTGAGAAAAGCAGACTTCAACTGAAATTTAATATGCATGATTTCTTCTCCCCAAAGCCTGTCATTTTTTTCTTAATATAATTTTCCTTTCAAATTCTTTTCTGTGTGTTTTTTTTGAAGGAGGAAGGGTCCATCAATCTCCCAGCTCTAACAGGGATATTTTTATTTCTGATGGTGGGAATTTGATTAGACAGAGGCTCATCTAAATGGGATTGACTAATTAATGTGACATAAACACAGCCTTGCAAAGTGTATTAAATATAATTGTTCCTGTCAACTCACTACAGTCTTGTTCACTGCAAGGAGCTGGGGTTATCAAGGTCCTTGTTTTGTTTGGTTTTTAGCACTTTATTTTTTCAGTGGTGCCTGAACAGATGTCATCAGTTTCTTAGTCAAAGATTTTATTTACCATACTGTGGAGATCCAACTTACCCAGGGTTTTCTTGCATAAATGCTTTATTTTTAAAAAATATTTCCACTGAAAAAAAAATTGCACTTCTAAGATTCTCAGAAAGGAAAATAAATCCAGATTTCTCATTGGGTTCTTACTGTTTTAATTAAATTTGTATTTTACATGCATTTTTTGAAAGTGAAGAAATGTCTGAAATAGGAATTAAAGCCTTACTCCAGTACTCTTTTTTTTGGAGTTTGTTGTTTTGTTCTGGTATTTTTTTAATGGAAAAAATTAAATATTCCTGTGAGCAGAGGAAACTTCTCATCTGTGAGTAAGTAAAGAAAAACTGGTTATTTATACAGTAACAGAGAAAATGCAACATATGTAAATCATTTACAACAAAACCACAGAAGAATACACAGAGTCCAGTAATGCCATTCCATCTCCACATCTGGCACTGCAATTCTTGCATGATTCCAGTAGCTCTAGAAATGGATGTGGTTGATTCTCTTCTGTCTAGACTTTGTTTTATTCTTCACGCAGCAAGATGCAGCAAATCACTGAGCAATAATGATCTGGCACAGCACTGTTCTTTCCTGTTCCCAATTCTGCTCCTGCAATCCCACCCCTGACTGACAGGGATATTTCTGGAGGTCAGAATTAACTCAATCAATTGCTTTATCCCATGCACAAGTGCTGTCAGGAAACAAAACCTCAGTGGAGAGGTTGCATAAATGATCATTGCTGAGTATCAAGCGTGTTTGGTCTGTTCATGTGTCACTGTCTTGTCCTCTGCAGGTACCCCAACAATTTGTGTCACTGTCTGGGCAGTGCTGAGGCTCCACTTCGATGACACTGGGTAGGTGTTGCTGTGTGGGAAATGGTTCCAGATGCATCCAGCACCATGGCAAGGGTGCCAGGAGTGTGGTGGCTGGAGAAGAATCACAGAGTGAGAGCATCCTTTAGGTTGGGAAAGGTCTCCAAGGTCACCAAGTCCAAGCTGTGACTGATCCTCAGCTTGTCCCCAGCCCAGAGCACTGAGTGCCACCTCCAGGCCTTCCCTGGACACCTCCAGAGATTGTGTCTTGTTTTGAAAAGAGAGGTGTCTGCTAAGGAAGGCAGAAGCCTCCCTTGAAATGGAAAATGTAACCCCCCTCCTTTCACACTTAAGACAGATGGGGACTCCAAACCTCCCTGGGCAGCCCCATGCCAAGTTCAAAAACCCTTTTAGTGAAAAAATTCTTCCTGATGTCCAGCCTGAACCTCCTATGGCACGACTTGAGGCCATTTCCTGTTGCTCTGTTTTATCCTTTAATTTCTAACATCCTTTTGTGTACTAACATAATTTAGGTCCAGAGTTCAAGTAGTTCTCTGTTCACAGAGTTACAGTTTAATGTCTGCCACCACTGCAGTGGGGAATTCCTGAAAGATTCAGGCATCAAACCTGTGAAAATGCAGCTGAACCCATTCCCTTCTCCAGTAAATTACTGGAGTCCAGGATATGGTTTGTCTTATCTTACAAGTGGAATCCCATGTAATTCTCTGCTTCTTTGTGAAGGAAGATGAAGGTGATGAGCTCAGCTGTAGAAATTATTGCAGATAAATCTAGTACAATGAAGGAAATCTGCACAAGGCATTGCTGAGCTTTGTTTTGCCATGGTAATTAGGAGTTTAGCTTCCCACTGAGGAGGGTTTTCCATGAATTTTGCAGGGAAGATAAATAGAGATGAAACAGAAATTCGCATTCTGTCTTCTGTGTGGAAAAAAGATATTTCATAAAGAATTCAAAAGGATAGGTCCTTTCCAAATTATCTCTTTTGGTAGAGAAAAAAAAAAAAAGCTGCAAATATCCTGTTCTAAAGGACCAGAAGGAAAAGCTGCTCCCACAGCTGGACCTGCGTATTTTGGTAGTCAGTATCTGCTCCCATAGAGCAGCAGGCGTGGCAGGTAGGAATGGATGTGTATTTACACCCTGAAAAGACAAACTTGGCTTTTTCATGAGAGCTGTGCTTGAACCTGGTGAAATGTTAGAAAAAATGAGGTAGACTGAGCAAAATTACAAAAATCAGTCAGTGGTTCTTTGAAAACACAGAACTGAGGGGAAGGCACTTAGTACCAAAATCCCATTTCCAAGTCATTGAGGCTTATGCTTTAGTTTTGCCTAATACTGGAAATACCTTGATGAAAAATTTCCACAAAACTAATTGGTCTGTCAGGTTTTTTTCCTCCTTGTTCTTTCAGAATCTCTCTGGAAAGCAACTAAAGCCTTTCCTCCACTGGGGATGCCAGTGCTGTGACCCAATGTTCTAATTTGACATTAAGACAAATTAAATCAATTATTTCCATGAAAAACAAGCCAGAAACCCCTGTTGTGTCATTATTAGGATTACAGCACTGGTCCTGAAAGCACTAATTTCTCTTTCAAGTCCAAACAGCCCTTGCATTTTGCAGGTAGGGAGAATGTCTCGCAGAGGGAAAAAGAAGAAAAAGAAACTAAAAATCAAAGCAACCAAAAACATTCCTGTTATTTAGAGAAGCTATTTAGCATGCAAGACATTTAGACAGGTTCTAGCTGAGAGTCTCAGTGGTTACTTTTTAAAAATCAGCCAGCATTGTTCTGGGAGTGGGGGAGAAGCCAGCATGAGCCCGAAAACATTGTGGAAATTACTGAACTGGAAAACCACAGTGGCAAAGGCAGGGACTGAAATACAGGCTCAGAGTCTGAGTCCCCTCCTGCCTGTTCCTTATAAAACTGGCAGAGCTCCCTCGACTTCAGCTCCTGACTTCCATCAATGTATGTGACAGGATTGAGGAGATAAATGCAGCTGTCTGTTGATCCAGAGCTCTGCTCCTGATTGAAGTGGAGTTATTCCAGACGTGCACCAGAGATAGCCTCTGGCCTCTGCAGATGGAAATCACATCCCTTCCCCAGCCCCATGGCTCCCTTCCCTTCATCCATCCTGGAAAATAATAATTTCTTTTCATCCTGCACTGTAGGGAGGCATTTGACAGAAATTAGGGAGCTTGTTGACATAGTGCAGAAAATTCCAAAGGTTGTGTCATGCATTCTGACTCTGAGGAGGAGATGGTGGTTCCTTCCCCCACATTTATCCTGTAGGTCTCACAAGGACTGGACATCCTTGAAAGTCTTTGAAAAAAATCTCTGTGAGCTTGATCTGATTCATTGTTGACATCTACAAGGTGGAAGTTGGGAATTGAGCTCCTGGAAAAACAGGGGAGTGGTTTAAGTAGAAGAAAAGGTCTAAGAAGAGAAGAAAAAAGCAGAGAGGTCTAAGAATAGGAATTTATAGGGAATGATGTATCACCCCAGAGTGCACATTTAAAGTACCTCAGTGTGGGGGGAAAAAACCCAAAGCAACCTCCAAGGTTCTCTTTGTCCCAGGCAGATTCTGGGATAATTAACTGGGCTGTTGGTCTCTACAGTCCAGATACCTGGAATTAGAGGTGCATTCATATCCCTGTAATTCCTACACAGACAAATTGCCATTCATCAATATCTACTTTTACAGCTAAATTGATAATTAATGATTTTCCCAGATTCTTCCAATATTGGTCAATTCACTGAAGACTTTCAGGGCAGATTTAATGTCCATCATAAGGAGATTGAGCTCTGCAAATAATGGGTAATTTTCAGTAGACAGCACCTAATTATAAATGCATAAAAAGAATTTAAAAGATAATTGGTGATTTTAGGTCCATACCACTGTTGATCACTGAAAAAAACCCTGATTTCCACACTGTGGGTGAGGAGATCCCTCCTTCCAAATATTTTAAGATGGGCATCCAAAGTGAGATAACTAGGAAATATTAATTTCCACTTGAAAATCTCAGTCATCAGCCCCTTAGATTTTGGGTGATTTCAGGTTTCCATGCTGTGCAAAGAGAAGCAAAATTACTTAATTTTGTGCAGATTTTCTCACTTCTCACCAGCTGTACCATACAAATCCTTACTGTTGGTTTTATGGGAATCCAGTGAAATATTGTCCATCTGAAGTGAATAAATATTGTTCAACTGAAAAGAATGAAAAGAATGAGAAAGAATGAAAAGAATGAATATTGTTCAACTGCAAATACAAATTTAAATGAAATTTCTAAACCAGGCATCACTCATACTTTTGGGATTTCTCTCACACACACACTTCGATGATGGAATTTTAGCTCTGCCTCCTCATTTTTGCACATGTATATAGTTTTGTTTAAAGATTTTCCCTTTTCCCCCAGATGCTGCCACACAACCATTTAAATGACACTGAAGTTGTAGTAAGCTCTCATGAGACCAGCAGTGTTTTATTCCTGTATGTTCTTCCCAATTGTTTTTTGGCATTTGACAAATGCACCATGACAGCCTCTGCTGGGACTTTGGCTCATTTCCCAGTGGGAAAGAAAAAACTCCTTCTCAGAACTGCAAGTACAATTTAGACAGATTTCCATGGTTCTGTGTTTTCTAGGGAGAAAATCAGGGGAAGAAAGTGGAGGCAAATGAAAGAAAAGTTTTGGTTGACAAATTCTTGATGACTTAAAAAAGTCATGAAGACATTTCTCAATCATAAATAGTAGTCATTATAATAGTGTAGCAGGACCTGGAAAATAAGATTCTTTCCATTATTATTGGTTTTCTAGCTCTAAAAATGTATGTTTACATTAAAACTCTCTATGAATATAAGGCATACATTTGAATGTCCAAGTGCACCTGTGTGGAATAACCTTCTGCAGATCCTTTGGTGATTTCAGAGGAAGATTTTAAATTCTGGGGTAGAAATGTAATTTTATTTATGCCATTTACTAGCAACAGCTTAACAAAGGATTAACAAATACTGTTGCCCAGTATCTGATCCTTCTCAGATGAATCCTGGAAAGGACTTGCAACCCAGGGACTGGAAAATCATTCCAATATGTGAATACAACCAGGAACCTGGTGTACTGGAAATGTGTAAAAATCCTTATGTCAGGGCCAGAAACCAACATTCTTATCTGTTAACCCTAGAAAAGTAAATGTGATATCAAACTGGAATAACCAGTTTGGAATAACCAGTTTGGAATAACTTTGGAATAACCATCAAAAAAACCCAATCCATTGACTTATCTATTTTCTATCTCTTTTTTTTTAATTTGTTTTTAAAGGGACAACTTTACGGTTGTATTATAGATACAGAAACATACATAAAGGGTTTTTCCAACATATCTAAGCTGTTTAATAGGAATACCATCAAAACTACCACAAAAATACTTGTTTTACTTCCAAATGATTGTGGAAAGGCTGTAAAAGAAAGCTGCAATAAGACAAAGTAAGGAACTGCCACTTTGAACTTAGATACAATAATTTAGCTGCAAAACCAATCTCTCAAATTCTGCCTCCTTAAAAAAAAAAAGTTGTAAGTTCATTAATTTAATTGTTTTATCTTGTTTTCTTTCCTTCTCTTTCCCCATCCCATTCTTTCCTCAACGGCTGCAGCTGCTGGGACATGAATGACAACACTGCCTTGTGGTGGGTGATCAAGGGTCCCGTGGTTGGGTCAATCATGGTGAGTAGAACCTGGAAAGACACTTCCTCAGCTCTCCTGAGGACAAATTTAAACATCTTCAAATGCTTTACAAACTGTGCTGCACCCCTGTGCTGGACTGATAGGCAAATTCTCTAAATTTCCATCATTTGCCACCCACAAAGCCAAGGAATTTCATTATTAAGAAGGGTTCATACACATTAAATGATGGAGCACTGCCTGCAAGCAAAGGAGTTATTGGGTTAAACAGAGACACAAATTCCATAATTAAGACCTCAGAGCATGTGGAACATTTGTCTGAGGCTAGCAGAGGTGTCACAGGATGTATGGAAATTCTGGGCTAATTGGGGTGGCAGCTGAAGGCCAAGTGGGACAATCCAGGGCACCTAAAACAATAGTAAAGTTTAAATAGTAAATATAGTAATTTAAATTTCGTAAATTCAGTAAGTTTAAATAGTTAAATAGTGATTTTTTTCCTGGTCAGTGACCAGGAAAATGCACTCTGTCTGTTCAATGGGATTAACTTCACAGCTACATTTATTTATCTAATACAAGATTTAAAATAGTACTTGGTCACAGTGTAATAGTCAGCAAGTTGTCTGAGCTCTCTTTAACTGATGAAACTCTTGGATTTGGCTCAAATTTTGTCAGATACCTGCACATGGACAACTGAGAGGTTCTAAAGTGCCCTGTTTGGGCGTCACAGAATAGCTAAAATTGGAAAGACTTACTGGAAGTCATTTAGTCCAACCTCCCTGTTTAAACAGGATTCCCTAGGACATATAATTCAGGACTGTGTATAGATGGATTTTGAATATCTGAAGAGAAGGAGATATTCTGGTGCTCAAAAGAATACAATAATTTTAAAATGCTGTTGGGCTCCTGCATTTAGGAAAATAAATTGAGCCCCTGGCCAATATGGTCAGTGGCATCTGAAAATCTGTCAGGTTTGCCAACTCTAAGTGTCTCATTCTGGGCATTCTGAGTTGCTCTCCACACTCCACAGACAGAATTAAGCAGGCTTGCAGTGAGTTTTGTGGGAATTCAGACATCCAGATCACAGGTAACCAATGAAACAGGAAGTTTTATCAGGTTTGGTGTTTCTCCTTTGAAGTCTTTGGAAATGAAAGAAAATTCAGCCAATTTCAGCACCAAAACAGAGAGGGTTCAGTGATCCAAGGTTTTTGTCCATGTGTGAATTTCTGTGTTTTGCAGGCACAGTCTATGAAGGATCATGTTCTGCTGAGAAGGGGAATAAAACCTGGTTTCTGTCAATGGCATTAAAGAACCAAACAACCAGCAAGGCACCACTGGGCTTCTCCATCTCTTTGGAGTTCTCAGATCAGACAGAAACTGCTGGAAGAGTTCTAGATGCTGAGAATTTTAGACTTTCTCTACTGACAGACTCTAACTCCCAAGAAATCCTTGCTTTTGACCTGAAACCATAGAAAAAGCTTCCAAAATTGATTGATGACACTAGGATTACAAGTGTGTAGTTTAATTAGAAGTGTATAATATCACAAGGTGGAAAACTTAGAGTTTGGGGTTTTCAAATATACTAACATCTACAGAACAAGATAGAAGTTTTAAAACAGAGACTATTCCTTCTTCACCTTCTTCTTTATAAGTTTGAGTAGTATTTTTTAATTAAACAGAAAAGTCCGCATTCTGGACTTTGAGTGATTAGTTATTAAGTTAAAAGTGAAAATAATGTAAAAGTAATTTCTTAATTAGATAGTTTAACCTTAAAAAAACTCATAACAAAAAATAATTAACCATTTTATACCTTGTTAGTAGAATACTACAGCACTCCCTAGCTGTGAGACTATAACATAAATAAGAAAAAAGAAACATTTGAGTCAAGTATCTTCAAGTGCCTTCAATCCCAATCTCAAAAAAAAGAAAACAAACAAGCAAAAAAAAAAACCACAAACGAACAAACAAAAAAACCACAAAAAACAAAATGCCCCCCCCAAAAAAACCCCAAAAAACGAAAAAAAACCCCAAAACCTAACATTATAATGGTGCCCCATGTGAGCATCCAACTCACAACCTTCAGGTTATGAGACTGATGCTGATGCTCATGTTCAGTTCCTGGTCTCCCTGTAGGAGTATAAGATTTTATAATGAACCAACTTAAATTTCCACTGTTCAGGCTCTAAGAAGCTGTGCAGTTGGTGACAGCCAAATCTCAAAACAAAGCATTGAAATAAACTAATTTTATCATTCTGCAGATTTTTAAAACAGAGGGAAACTTAAACTGAGAAGTCTGTTGGTCAGGGAATGGGAGTTAAAAATGCCTTTACTCTCAAGGTTTTTATTTTATTATTTTTTAGTGCAGGGATCTTTTTATTCTGTGCAGGTTGATAATGAAAAATCTTGAAACTTTTTCATTTATGCTTCTCTTCTCTTGTCTTGAAACTGCAGAAATTCTGCCTCATTGTAGCTGCAGCAAGGGGAATAAAACTCTTGTGAACTTTCCCCATTGCTCCTGACCCTATAAAACTTTTAGAATGTGGTTTGGAGAAGAAAAAGGAAATGTAACCAAGAAGTCACTGGGAATGTTTCATTGTCATACTTTGTAAAAATATGTCATTGTCACAATTTTTTTCCTTTTTTTTCTTTCCCCCAGATAAACTTTGTGCTTTTTATTGGCATAATTGTGATACTTGTGCAGAAACTCCAGTCACCTGACATCGGGGGCAATGAATCCAGCATTTACTTGTAAGTACAAATAAAGCAGTAATCAATTTAAATTACTGATATACACATAGGAAAAACCCTCAAAGTAAAAAAGAAACCTCAGTTGAATTAGGTTAATTTTTGAAAAGAGTTCCAAGGTCTACTAAATTATTTTGATTTTTACTTTAATTTTTTAATCCATCAGCCATGAAGGTGCATTTTAATGCCAGCTTTCACCTTTCTTTAAATGGCCTATTAAATAAGCATAAATACAAGATTAAAAACAAACCCAAACCAATCTAATGTTTTTTAGAAGTCGGTTATCTGAAAATTAACATGTTGGTATAAAAATTGTTATCCTCATGGGATGGTTTGCTGTGCTTCATAAGTTCCAGGAAATGGTTCAAAGTTCACTGAAATCAATGAGATTTGGTGAAAAGGTTTAATTAACTTTAGGCTGAATTATAGTGTAGGCAGATCACATAGACATGCTTATGTCCATGTTTCTTCTAACCTTAAATACATTCCCCTTAAGCCAAACATTTCACACACACTGCCTTAAAATAGTTTTAAAATCCTAAAAACACAAATCCTAATATTTTCCTCTAGATGTTTGTAGCTTTGTAATTTATATGAGGTTTTTTTTTTAAGCTGGAATCCTTTTTATTAGTTTCCACCTCATAAGAGGGCAGATGTTGGCCAGTTGAGGTGGTTCTCATCATGATTTTGAGTGCATGCAGTCACTCTCCATATAAAAATTATATAATCCTCTGGAGTAACTAGGATATGGGGCAGCATCTCTGGTGTTGGCCTAAACACCACACACATTTGGTTTTGGGATTTTTTTGTGACCTTGAGTGTTTTCTTGCACACATAGACATAGGTAGGACTATTTAATTTAGTACTAAATTCCTGATAAAAATAGGCAAGCTATGAACACCTTAAATAAAACCAAAAGATGTTAGGGTAAAGTAAGAGATGCTTATTTGGTAGCATATATAATTATCCAGTGATTAGTTTCACCATAAGTAACCACAATCATAATATAATGATGTCATCCATCTAATTTTTCAGGGAAAAATATGTCCTCCAGCTGCCTATTTTTCTTTCCCCCATCCTGTTATCGAGTTTAGATTTGCATTAAATAATAATATTTTCTACATCAATTTTCATGTCTGTAGCCAGACATCCACTTACTGAAAGCGCTGCCCCTTTCATCTTGCTCTAAACTATGTTTCCACAGCCAAAAACAATGTTTTAAATTGATTCTGTGGTAGGATTTACCTCAGAAATAAAACTGAGGATGTGACTTAGTGACTAGGTTAACTTGTGCATGGTCTGCCTAGGGCTTGCATGAAGGCTTGGATGTTCTGCTAGGAAATCATCCCCGAGTCTTAAATTGTAATTAACACCTGAGATGTGCAGAGCTCATTCTGAGTCTGAATTTTGAAGTGCATGTTTGGTGTCTGCTGCACATCTCACAGATGAAGCAAAGCATGCCACAGACCCCAAAGATTTAAGTGGATTATCAAACATCCCTTGCCACCTTGGATCAATATGGTGACTGGGTTTTGCTGGTGTTTTTCCTATGTGTATAGTTAGCCACCAAAACCAAGAGAAAAAACATCATATTTTCTGTTCCATTCGCTGCCATTATTTTTTCCTCATGTTTTTTTGCAACTTTTATAACCGGGTGTGTATAAACCGATCTCGCATTGATGTATGTGTTATGGAGTGGAGTGTTGTTTATCCAAACAGATTGGACAGCAGAAAAGTTCACACAGGGATGATAAAAAGGAATGGAATTGATAATTCTGTGCAGATATGCACCAGACAGAGTCAATATTTGTGCTCACATACCCTGTAAAAAGAGAGTTTGTAAGGAAGGAAGATGATAGATCATAATCTGGTTCTGTCACCATATTGAAATATCTCACATTTAGACTGTGGCTCATATTAAGCATCTTCCATGTTCTATTTTGCTGTTTCAACCTATTGTAGCATCATTCCATCAGACCAAATTCCTCATCCAGCTCTTTATTCCGGAACATCTTTAAGCACTTTCCCTTTAGTAGGTGAGGAACAATGAGGTTGAGGAAGGATTTTCAACCTGTTTCTGAAGGTAATACCTCATGGATCTGCAGCAGGGATTGAGATTTATTCTAATACCATTCTTCCATTTTTTGGGATAACCAGACAGCTGGTACTTCCATCATCAGAAAAAGAAAATTAAAGACCCCAAAAAGTTGGCTACTGACTTTTAGCAGGATTTCTTTTTATATGTCTGCTACATGTTTAGGTGAAGGTCCTTGTAATGACTATTTTTGTTAGAAAAATCTACCTCTGGTTCTACTTCACAGACATGGTGGTGATGGTTCTGCAAAGCACTTAAGCCTGTATTTGATTTTTAAAGCCCTGGGGATGGGCTTAAATTCAAAGATTAATCATTTATTGCCACCACTCTGCATTCATTATTAAAATCTCCCACTGGAGAAGTTGGCTGGGAGCTATGACAGGACCATGGCAGAAGAGAGCACTGCAGGGGAGCTGAGGCTTAATTAATGCAGTGTAGCCACTGGAGAATATAAGATTTACCTTAAAATAAATCAATCATTTCTATCACTTGACACACATTACCAGGGCTTTACTTCCATAAAAAAAAATCTAGACTTTCTCTCTAAACAACGTGATCATTGTGTGCAACAGCCTTTGCCTTTAGGCTGACAAAAACTTGGAAACACATTGTTAATTCCTCACAATTTTCCTGGAGTGGCCAAGTGCTTCGGTGGTTATAAAATTCCATTTTATCCACTTGTGTGTGCAGTCATCCATTACCAGTCTCATGCCTCCCCAGCCTTTCCTCATGCCTTTGGTTCCCCTCGGAGCTGCCTGCATGCTGCTGACACCCAAAAATCCCACCAGGTTCTGGGAGAGCAATCACTCCATCTTTCTTTTGCTGATGTTTTTGAGAGAAGCTCCTCTTTACTGATGAAAATATTGGGGATCTCTAAAATGCAGATTCATCAAAATGTCTAAGCAGCTAAGGTAGGAATTCAAAAAAGACATCGAAGACACCCCCTTTAAAGATAATTTTAATTCTATTATTATTTTGGGCTATTTTTCTAAGAAACTTCCACACTTCCTCCCAATAGTCATCATAACTTTTTAGTGTCAGAAGTGCCAAAGATGTAAATTTTTTTTCTTGAAACCTGTCTGGTTTCAGTTAATCTTGTGTCAGTCCTGAATAATTCTGCCAAATTAAGCATTGAACCGAAGCAAGATCAGTAATGCAAATGGAATAGATTTTTATCTGAGGGACAAGTTCTGAGATCCCCAGGAGGTGGGGAAGCATTAAGAGCTATTGATCGTATTCTTAGAGTAATTAAGACAGCTATTAACGAAGTTCAGGCAGGTTTCTCACCCCAGCTGGTGAAATAAACAGCAGTAATGTCCCATCATTACAGACATAAAATGGTTTGGGTTGGAAGGGGCCTTCAAATCATCCAGTGCCACCCCTGTCATGGGCAGGGACACCTTCCCCTATGCCAGGGTGCCCCAATCCCTGTTCAGCCTGGTTTTGAACATTTCCAGGGATGGAGCAACTACAGCTTTTCTGGGAACCTGTGCCAGCGCCTCACCTCCCTCACAGTAAATAAGTTTTCCCTAATATCCAATCTGAACCCATTGTCTTTCCATTTAAAGCCATTTCCCCTCGTGACATGTCCTATTTAATCTCACAGAACAAACAACCATGTCTTGAATTGGTGCCAGTATTTTCGATATAGTTCTAAATTAATTAACATGATTCCAAACAGAAAGAACCCCCTGATTTTAGCAGTCTTCAATTATACTTTGTAAACAACAGTGAAGGCTTCCCCAGAACAGAGACTAAACAGAGTTAAAGAATAAAGCAGGGATTGATTTAAAGGATCTCCTCCATGGATCCACCTTGGGCAGCACAAGAGCCCAGCCAGGGCTGCACCCAAGATGAACCCAAATGGCCCCAAAATGCACGAGCACTGCCGGGGTCTCTCCCTGGGCTCAGCTCTGCTCCATGTGCACATTGCAGTTCAGTGTCCAATCCCAGCTGCAGCCCCTGCAGTCCCATCCTGCTTGTTTTTCTCTCTCCAGCCCACGGGGTTTGTGCTCCTGGGCTGAGAATTGGATCATTTGTCCTTGGTGCCCAGCTGGAGCAGGAATTGTTTTGTCTCCCTGCTCTGTGCAGAGAGCTCACCATGCCCTGATGTGAAGCTCAGACCCACACACTAAAGCAGCACAGAATGTGAAAAGCATAAAAGCTGAAACCTGAGGCATCAGAAGTAACAGATTATTTAGGAATAGTTGCCCTATATGCTGAGAGCCAAGGAGCACCACATCAGGAGTCCATGAATTAAAGAGATCTCACAGTCCTGGGGATTGCAAACAATTAAGAACCCTACCATGGCTGGTTCAGCACCCAGAGCAGCCCATCAGGCCCACATTATTTGCATGGATTTATCATCTATCAGTTTCTTCCCTGGAATTTTAAGAAATGGATAATAAACTGATCAGGCAAGACTTCACTGTTTTTGCCATGAAAAATCCAGCCAACAGTGTGTAACCTGGTATGTCAGAATCTGTTTTCCAACATCCAGCTTTTGGTCAAGTTGTTGCACAGATAGTACAGCACCCCCCACCAGAAAAAAAACCCAAACATATTTCTACAGAAATGCCTACACAAAGCTTAAATTCACGCTGTTATTTTCACAAGCATTGTTGCATTGCTGAAATACTCACTCTAGAGAGAAAATCATCAGCATCACTACCAAAAAACGCCACTATTATATTAAGTAGGTGCATGATGTAGATGCATGCTGGAATAACCCTTAAGATTAAAAAGACCCACACATTTCCATCAAATCTTTGTTTTTTCATTCATTTTCAAGTATCAAGCACATATAACTGAAAAAAAATCTTTTTATTTTATTATGATTTCCAGTTTATCACGACTGGTGTAATTTGGGAGGGGGAAGCTTGTTTCTGCTTTTGCTTTGACAGATTCT